GTGACACTGACAGACTCACAGACACAGAGACAGTGGCGACACAGCCGACACTGAGTCACTGACAGCGACACAACTGCTGTCTACTGACACAGTTCGGGAATGGGGGTTTAGACAGTCCTTCAGGCTTCAGCAGTCAGCACTGCAAAAATAACATTAATTACTAATTTTGACCACACTCAACAGCTGGTTGCCACAAGTATGTTCAAGTTCATTACTACTGAGGTCTGAGAGAGTTAAAGTTTTCTCTCTGTCTCTCATGTCACTGTCAGAGACTTGTCTAGATGTCTCTTGCTTCAGTTCTGTCTCAACTCTCAAATCTCTCAGACTCTCAAAATACCATTCCATTTGAATGATTAAATTTTGATTTCACTGCCTTAATTAAAAAAAATCAATAATTTAATTGTTGACTAAATACTAATTATTCATTAAATAATTACCGTACTAATAATAGCATAATGAATTTAAAAAAAAATTGATAAATTAAAATATGTAAATAAATTTATTATTTATTTTGCTATTGCTTATTTATTTATATAATGGATTTAAATCTGATCAAGCAATAAATTTTAAATATAATTAATTATTATAATTAATAGAATAATTATTATTATTATACATTTTTAAATTATTATCGAATCATAATTCAATAATAGTTTATAATTATTACTGAAATTGCATTATCCAAAGGACCAAATCCAATACATACACATAATTTTGACTGAGAAATTCATTTAGCCTAGCCTACATACGAATACGACTCTACAAGATAAGAACATAAGATGGTCCAAGTGACAAGTCTACGATACGATTGAAAGAGTGATAAGACAATAAATTACAAGGCACAAGCACAAGGCGATAATAAAATAAACCATTTTCATATAAATTTGAATTAAATATTTCATCAAGTATTACTTACTTCGAAAGTTTGAAGTACAAGACCACGAGACTCCGAGACGACTCACTCGAAGAGAAGCCAGCCGTCACCGAGTGATTAAACAGCCGGGAGCAGGCACATTATATTTGAAAAATTCAGCAGCAGCCAGTAGCCACTGGTAACTTTGAGTTCGATATTAAGTATTGTTACTAGTAACTCACTTGTTAGTTGTTACTAGTAGGTTGCTAGGTAAAACGTAGGATGGTAGGATAAAAGACACATGTTACAAGACAATCTCTAGATGGAATGCCAAAAAATATAGATGTCGGGCACTATAAACAAAGGAAGATCGAATGTAGAGAATCAACACTTTCACGTGATGCAAACTTCAAACACTATTTGATTTTCATTTAAAATGCTAAATATACATGAAAAAATTATTTTAATGACAAGTTTTGAATGCTTGAATTTATTTTATTTCTTTAGTTATATTTTAGTCCTTCAATACTGAAAGGATTTACTTCAATTTTGGAATATAATTAGTTAGTATCAAATATCAATACACTGCAGTAGAGATTATCACAGATTTGAACATTATTCTGTTTTCAATTTAAACGAATAAACCATTTTTTTCAAGTTTAAGAAACCTAATAACTCACAAGTCATTGAAGGACATGAGTTGTTAGGGCACTTTAAAAATGTGTTTTTCTTCGTTTTAATTGAAAACGAAGTAATGTAAAAATCTGTACTACATTAATTTACTTATTATTTGTAAGATTGTAATTACTGACGGTAAAATATCATATGAGCAATGATGGATTTGGATTTGTTGCGTGGTGATACAGTGACACTGAAAAGAACGACATTTTCAGAGTCAGGCCTTCACAACGGCCATCAGCCAGGCATCACATATTCATTTGTTAGTAAGAAGGACTAAGAAAGGGAAACTATTAACAGCAAAGAGGTTGTGAAACTACCAAGTGCGCAGGCGAGTTTGCTGAAGTGTCGATCCGGTTGAGAAAGTTCGTTTTAGGGCCTAGGGGTATGGTAGCAAGGTGAAAAGGAAATTAAGAGGAAAATTCATATGGTTTATTATTGCTATATCTCAGTTTTTGCCTGTGTAACTTTACATTTATATTAATTTAGTGATATTGTTTTGAGAGTTTGAACCATATTTTAGAATCGGAATTTGGTACCATATACAAATTGGAATCGGGAAGAATTTTTGAAAGTTTTAAACATAAATGAGAGATAAAACTTTAAATGAGACTAAATGAGATCAACCAGAGATTAGGTCAAACAATAAACTACTGAAATAAAATTCAGTTTGATTTTTTCATTAACAATAACTAGAGGTTTGGGATAAAGTAAATTTTGCTAGGGTAGTTTCGATACAGCCAAGTAAACATGAGCGTTCATGTACAGCAAGTGATATTCAAGGTGACGTTTTCGATGTTTTAAACATTAAATCTGTCTTTAAGGCACAGTTTAAATCATCCTGTCGTACTTTATTACTACTTTTCGTTTTTTATTACGTTTTTTACACATATTAAGTGCTTTATCTGCTCCTAAGCTTGCTAAACTAATTATTAAAACTTTGCATACATGATCAGCAAAAGGGAAGTCTGTCAAAGTAATTATAAGTTCACCCTCCAATATTTAAACTTAGAAAAGGAGTTACATCAAACGAAGGGTCAAATACGATAGATGATGAATTTTTCTATAAAGAACAGTGTCCGTTTTTAGATAATAATAATTTTTTCTCAATTTAAATGATGTTGAAAGACTGAAGAACCCTCATTATACATTTTTTGAGTTTTTCGAGTCCACTGGACGAGCGATGGTGCAGCCGGAAGTTAGACCAGTTGAACACTGTTTACCACTGAGTGAGGGTGTGTGGGCCGTTCCTCCTTCTTGGGTACTGCGTTCAGAGACTCCATATGACGTTGGTCATTTATAATGACCTTTGAATTGCACAATGGGGGGCGCCGCCCTCCAATGGGGGAACTTTGACCACCTGATGGCAGCCGTGACGGGGTAACATTGACCGGCTTGGAAATTAAGTTAAAATTACCATAGATACCTATATAACATATTTTATGTTTGATACACCTATTAATGTTTTTTTCTTCATGTTTCAGACCCTACAGAGTCTTATATATGGTAATTATAACTTAATTTTCAAACCGGTCTATGTTACCCCGTCACGGCTGTCATTAGGGTAAACGCGGTATATTCCGACATCGTAGGTAATTCCGTCACCTCTCCAGCTTTTCCTTTATATTAAGCTTTGTTTTAGTTCCATGCGTTCATTGATGGTTGAAATGGTGACGTCATACATTTGCGTGT